TCAATATAATATATACCAATCGTTTAATTTTTTATTTTAGAATAATTATTTTAAAGTGTTAAGATAAAATTTCAAAAAATACAAAATTTCAATTTTTTGTGAAAAATTAAAATATTTATTAATTCTATAAATTTGAATAAAATATATACTTTATATACATGAATTAATTCGTTTTTATGTCAGGAATGCAATTTTGCCAAGAATTAATAAAAATTTTAATATAGAAAAAAGTTATTTCAAAAAATCCAAAAATTAATTTTTTCAAAAATTAAAAAATTGTTGAAAAAAATTTTTTTTTTAGATATTTTCGAAAATCCTTCTGTCTGATTTTTGGTATTCGTGACCGTAATACACCTACAAAATTTTATCAAAATCCGTCAAGACGTGTAAGAGAAAATTTGTCCACAAGAATCGGTGACATACACACACACACATACATCCGGACATTTGTTCCTCTCGACGAATTATATATACTACACTTGAAAATTTGTAAAAATAATTGGTTCTAAAAAATTCGGAAATCGACATCACTATAAGGCTTCCTTTATGAGGAAGCAATAATATATATATATTATTGCTTCCTCATAAAGGAAGCCTTATAGTGATGTCGATTTCCGAAAAAAATTTCGGAAATCGACATCACTATAAGGCTTCCTTTATGAGGAAGCAATAATATATATATATTATTGCTTCCTCATAAAGGAAGCCTTATAGTGATGTCGATTTCCGAATTTTTTAGAACCAATTATTTTTACAAATTTTCAAGTGTAGTATATATAATTCGTCGAGAGGAACAAATGTCCGGATGTATGTGTGTATGTATGTGTGTGTGTGTGTGTGTGTGTGTGTGTGTGTGTGTGTGTCACCGATTCTTGTGGACAAATTTTCTCTTACACGTCTTGACGGATTTTGATAAAATTTTGTAGGTGTATTACGGTCACGAATACCAAAAATCAGACAAAAGGATTTTCAAAAATATCTAAAAAAAAAATTTTTTTCAACAATTTTTTAATTTTTGAAAAAATAATTTTTGGATTTTTTGAAGTAACTTCTTTCTATATTAAAATTTTTATTAATTCTTGTCAAAATTGCATTCCGACATAAAAACGAATCGATTCATGTATATAAAGTATATATTTTATCAAAATTTATAGAATTAATAAATATTTTAAATTTTCACAAAAAATTGAAATTTTGTATTTTTTGACATTTTATCTTAACACTTTAAAATAATTATTCTAAAATAAAAAATTAAACAATTGGTATATATTATATTGAGGAAGCTTAATGATCATGAAATGAACAACTTGTTATAATAATATATTATTATATATATATATGGGCAATTCCACGTGAGATTTCAGTCGACCTCTTAAAATCGGCCAAACATATTTTTTTTCTATTCTGTATTGAAAAAAAAACAGATACGTATTTTTTTATTATTTTTTTGGAGGCCAAATTTTTGAGTTATGAATTTTCAAAATTTTCGCTTTTTAAATGTATAGGTATATTTTTAATGTCAGATAACTCAAAAAATATTGCTTCTTTTCATTTTTTGACAAGAAAAAAAAAGTTTTGTTTTTCTCTCTACTTTTGAATAATCATAACAAAAAAAAATTTTTTTCATTTTTTATTAAAAAAATAAAAAAATTTTATAAACAAATTAATTTTTTTTAACTTTGGGTATGATAAATTTTTAATTTTCTTTTTTTAAAACATACCTGGAAATGATAAGAAGGTTTTTCAAAAACTTTCAGAGTGGGCCTGACAAGTTTGATGGGTCCAAAAAAATAATTAAGCTGTCCGTGCAGGTCGCACGCACGTGGCACAATGGGATTTTTTTACAATTTATTATTAAAAATTGTCTAGAGCCAACAAATTCAATAATAATCAAAATCCGATAAAATTTGTAGGCTCTAGACAATTTTTAATAATAAATTGTAAAAAAAATCCCATTGTGCCACGTGCGTGCGACCTGCACGGACAGCTTAATTATTTTTTTGGACCCATCAAACTTGTCAGGCCCACTCTGAAACTTTTTGAAAAACCTTCTTATCATTTCCAGGTATGTTTTAAAAAAAGAAAATTAAAAATTTATCATACCCAAAGTTAAAAAAAATTAATTTGTTTATAAATTTTTTTTATTTTTTTAATAAAAAATGAAAAAAAATTTTTTTTGTTATGATTATTCAAAAGTAGAGAGAAAAACAAAACTTTTTTTCTCTTGTCAAAAAATGAAAAGAAGCAATATTTTTTGAGTTATCTGACATTAAAAATATAACTACATTTAAAAAGCGAAAATTTTGAAAATTCATAACTCAAAAATTTGGCCTCCAAAAAAATAATAAAAAAATACGTATCTGTTTTTTTTCAATACAGAATAGAAAAAAAATAGGTTTGGCCGATTTTAAGAGGTCGACTGAAATCTCACGTGGAATTGCCCATCCCAGTAAACGAAAACTAATTGAAATGAATTAAAAAGAATTCACAAAGAGCTTTCGTGAATCCCGCTTTGTGACAAATACGAATTGGAGCCATGATGCAATTTTCCTGAATTCGTGAAACTGTATTGAACTTCCGAACCTTCTATCCGTACCAATTCACTGGACAAGTTTTGAGCCTTTAATTTTTTTCAATTCGTTAGCACGAATTCAATGCATTCCTTGGCCATTTCTTTCGAATGCGAATTCGTTTGGACAAATTGGTACATATTGAATTAAATTCAATTGAATATACAAAGAGCTTGAGTGAATCCCGCTTTGTGACAAATACGAATTGGAGCCTACCAAAAATGTTAATTCGTTTCAATTCATTTGAATTAGTTTTTTTTTACTGGGATATATTATATTTATAATTATATAATTTATATATATATATATATTAAAAACCGCTGCCAAATTGTACATTTTTATAATTTTGGTGTTCATTTCATGAACACTTTGCTTCCTCATACACGGAGAAAAAAATGCTGTTGAATCAATGACATATGGGTTTGATTCATTGAATAGTGTCATAACGGGCTGCCTAACGTATATGCTGTTGTTTTGAAAGCACCGATTCTAATGATTCGATAGTATCACTTTCTTTGAAACAAAAGCATATTTCTCAAATTGACAGCATACTATGTTAATTCGAAGGTGAATCCTTTTGAATCAATAAACAACATTTTTTAATTTAACAGTATATGCTTTTGAGTCAATGACTATAACTTTTAAATTTAAAAGCATCATTTTTATGATTCAAAAATTTGTACTCTTAATTTTTTTAGTTGTTGCTATCGATTGAATAACACCATACCATAATTCAATTCTTTTATGTGGTTAAATATATACCAACGATAAATTGAAAAAAGGGAATTTTTGTTCACATGTTTTTTATATACTATAATTAATTCTCACACCTTTAACACAACACTTTTTATACACATCTTTTTTTCAATTTTTCACACTAACATATACATCTTTATTATTATTTTCATTTTTTCCAACGGCTAAACACACACACACATACACATTCAAACACACTTATCTTTTTTAGTCAGAAAAATACGGCTATTCCCAAGCGGTCACCCATCCATTTAGTAACCGCGACCAACGACGCTTAACTTCCGTGATAGACGAGAACCGCCGCGCTGCAATGTAATACATCCGCTTCTCAACGTTGGGCACTTACTTTGTGGTTAAATACCGTGCTCGAGATTTTTCGCGTATATAAGGGAATTTATATAGGGAATTTATATTTAACTAGTCATTAATTAATTAAAAGAATTTAAATAATACTTTTTTATATTGGAATCTCAAAAACGACAGGTTTAATAAACATATAAATATATGTGGGTAAGTATTTCAATAAATTTAGTACCTGTCAATGTCTCAAAACATAGTGTTCTTAATTTTATAGCATATGCTATAGGCAGTCCGCAATAGCACCACTCATTGAAACGAAAGCATATGCTTTCGTTTTCAGAGCGCGCTTCTTTAGAGCAAACAATTTTTCATTTGATTTAAATTTACACGCATTTTCTTCAAATTTACCTATTAGATGCTTCAAATGAATAATGTCAAAGAAGCAATAAATTATTCTGTTGCTATATATAGATGAACTATAGAAACAATTTGCACAATATCATTAATTCTACAGTACCGTACTTTTAATTTAAACAGTTTCATTTTTTCATTTTAAGCAATATACTTTTCGATTAATAAATGTGTCATTGAATCAATGACGGGGAATTCAATAGCATGGAGATATTTGATTCAACAGCACTTTTTTTTCAGTGTAGAAATAATAATTAAAATATAAGAATTACTTTTTATAAAAGGGTTAAAAATCATTAAATCTTGGTCCAAAAAATGTGTTTTTATATATTCTATAAGATGGTAATAATAGTTGAATAATTACACATAAGTTAATAAACAACCCACATAGCACAATAAGGTAGTTCAAGTTGGGTGGGGGAAATCCAATATGGCTGACATCAGCTGATTTACCGGAGGACAAACAATGCATTGAATTCAATGGGACAAATCAGTTTTTTAACCATAACTTTTTAAATATTCATTTTTGAACCATAGTGTAATGGAAAATTATTCTTTATTTATCGAAATCTATTTTTTAAAACAATAAAACCAAAAAATTAAATTTTATTGTTTTAAAAAATAGATTTCGATAAATAAAGAATAATTTTCCATTACACTATGGTTCAAAAATGAATATTTAAAAAGTTATGGTTAAAAAACTGATTTGTCCCATTGAATTCAATGCATTGTTTGTCCTCCGGTAAATCAGCTGATGTCAGCCATATTGGATTTCCCCCACCCAACTTGAACTACCTAATAGTATGAGGTAAGGTTATGTTGAATACTAATCGTAAGGCTCATAAGGTTACACGATATTGCTGTGGTAGACCTTTTTTTTTTTCTTTTTTTAAATGACTTTAGGCTTAGCCAACTGTCAGAACACACACTCTTATATACCAACTTGTTTTTGCGTTTCTACAGAACGACTTTGAGGTTAGGAGTACTCGCATTTGCCTGGACCACCCGTCTAATGGGTTTTCTCGCCAGTGTAGAGGGAAACTGTAGAAAACCCAGGAAGGAATAGAGTAAGGAGACCGAACTCTGTGTAGAAAGCGCTTTAAAAATCTCAGAGAAATATGCACGAAAAGTGCCAGCCGTATTCTCGAAAGCATTCGACAATTCTCGCAAGCGTAAAATGTCGAATGGTTAATGTCGCATGCGACTCTGAAAGTCTATTCTCAATGACCGTTCGAGATAGGTTTTAATATTAGCATTTGTAAATTGAGAATTTTCTACAAAAATGTTAAGAAACTGGAATATGTAATATTTTTTTTTTAAAGAAAAGAATCAGTTTGTGAACAATATTGTCATTGAAAAATTAAAATTCTGCATAATAAAGGGATATATCTCTTTATATTATGCATAATTTTAATTAATAAATATAAATATTTCCTATTTTTGCAAAAAGAAAATTTATTTGTTAATCAAAATTTTTTGTAATTTTATAATTTTAAATTTTATTTTATTTTAAATCTTAAAAAAGAGCATACTTTCAATTTGTGAAACGATATTTTGTAAAGAAAAAAACAAAAGCATACACAAAAACTAACTTTAAAGTGTGAACAGACAGAAAAAATGAAACGAAGATTAAAAAATTAAAAAAATTTATATTGTTTACATGATTCATTCACAAAAATAACACAAACATGTGCAATTTATCCATTATAAATTTTGCATATTATAAATTATTTACATAAACTTTTATTTCACAAGTTTACTTTTAATTCTTAAACATTACATTTAGGTTATTTTGTATAGTTTTTCTACTTTAGCATGCGGTTCATGCACACTAATACTACTTTATATTATATACGTTTATTACAAGGATGACACACAACCTTATTTTTTACTATCATTTCGTATACGACTTTGCATCTCGAATGGCCACTACCCACTCGAGATGAACCATTCGGAAATTATCGCATACGACATGAAATCTCGCATGCGACAAGCGTTCGAGAATAGCTTTTTCCATCTCGAATGGAGACGCATGCATATCCCCTAATCGCCAAGTCGTCGAATGATCAAATAGTCGAATGCCAAGTAATCGAATGGACAAAACGTCGAATGCTAAAAACATCGAATGGACAAAACGACGAATGCTAAAAACATCGAATGGACAAAACGTCGAATGCTAAAAACATCGAATTGTCAATATACGTCGAATGTTCAAAACGTCGAATTATCAATTCGTCGAATGTTAAAAACATCGAATAGTCAATACGACGAATTCTCAATTCGTCGAATGTTCAAAACGTCGAATGTTTAAAACGTCGAATGATAAAAATGTCGAATGCTAAAAACATCGAATCGTCATTTAGTCGAATGCTAAAAACATCGAATCTTCATTTAATCGAATGCTAAAAACATCGAATTCTCAATTCGTCAAGTGTTCAAAACGTCGAATGCTAAAAACGTCGAATGTTCAAAACGTCGAATGCTCAAAAAGTCGAATTGTCATTTAGTCGAATGGTAAAACCATCGAATAGTCCATTCGTCGAATGCTCAAATAGTCAAAACGCCATCTGTTCGAATTATCAGGCTGAGTCCAGAATAGCTAAAAATCGTCTCGACTTTCAAGACGATTCGATGCGCGTACATACATTTTTGCTTACTGCGCATCGAAATCGAGACGATTTATTTGATTGTGGACTCAACCTCAAGTAGTAGAATGGTAAAGTTGTCGAATGTTCAAAACATCGAATCGTCATTTAGTCGAATGCTAAAAACATCGAATCTTCATTTAATCGAATGCTAAAAACATCGAATTCTCAATTCGTCGAATGTTCAAAACGTCGAATGATAAAAACGTCGAATGCTAAAAACATCGAATCGTCAACATGTCGAATGTTCAAAACGTCGAATTATCAATTTGTCGAATGCTCAAAACATCGAATTGTTAATTCATTGAATGCTTAAATCATCGAATTTTCCATTCGTCGAATGATAAAAACGTCGAATGCTCAGAACATCGAACTGTTAATTCGTCGAATGCTCAAATCGTCGAATGATAAAAACGTCGAATGCTAAAAACATCGAATCGTCAAAAGTTCGAAAAACTTTGTATTGTATATGTATGTATCTCACTAAGACCGGCTAAATGTAAACATTAGATCTTACATCTCACTCGCACAATTTTTACGAGAAACAGAGACACAACACAGCTTATGCGCATGATCAACTTAATTGGAGGTCGACTAGAACGCAGTGAGCCAGGCCGTATTCTCGAATCGATGACCCTAGATGTCGCATGCGACAGACCATTCGAGATGGAAAAAGCTATTCTCGAACGCTTGTCGCATGCGAGATTTCATGTCGTATGCGATAATTTCCGAATGGTTCATCTCGAGTGGGTAGTGGCCATTCGAGATGCAAAGTCGTATACGAAATGATAGTAAAAAATAAGGTTGTGTGTCATCCTTGTAATAAACGTATATAATATAAAGTAGTATTAGTGTGCATGAACCGCATGCTAAAGTAGAAAAACTATACAAAATAACCTAAATGTAATGTTTAAGAATTAAAAGTAAACTTGTGAAATAAAAGTTTATGTAAATAATTTATAATATGCAAAATTTATAATGGATAAATTGCACATGTTTGTGTTATTTTTGTGAATGAATCATGTAAACAATATAAATTTTTTTAATTTTTTAATCTTCGTTTCATTTTTTCTGTCTGTTCACACTTTAAAGTTAGTTTTTGTGTATGCTTTTGTTTTTTTCTTTACAAAATATTGTTTCACAAATTGAAAGTATGCTCTTTTTTAAGATTTAAAATAAAATAAAATTTAAAATTATAAAATTACAAAAAATTTTGATTAACAAATAAATTTTCTTTTTGCAAAAATAGGAAATATATATTTAATTAAAATTATGCATAATATAAAGGGATATATCCCTTTATTATGCAGAATTTTAATTTTTCAATGACAATATTGTTCACAAACTGATTCTTTTCTTTAAAAAAAAATATTACATATTCCAGTTTCTTAACATTTTTGTAGAAAATTCTCAATTTACAAATGCTAATATTAAAACTTTAATATAAAAAAAATGTTGTTACATTTATTTACGAATTTCTTTAATTATAAAATTATTCGTAATAATATCAGTAACTTCTATTTAAATAAATGTTTGATTGTTATTATTTTTCCATTATTTTTTTACATTTAAAAATAATTTAATTTTTGTAATCATTTTGTAACGTACGTCTACAAAATTCAATGTATTTAGTGTTTTTAACTAAAATTCTTCTATAAATTCATTATTTTTAATAATTAATTAAATATATATTGCCAAATATAACTAATTTCAAAAGAATTTGAATTATCAAAATTTTAAATTAAATTCATTCAAAATTAAAATTTTATAAAATTTCAAACTGAAACCGCTTAAAGTTAATTTGTTTATAAAAATTGTAAACACAAAATTGAATTGATTTTGAAATATTTAAATGAACGGATAACTATTTGTATTTTTTTCATATGTCAAGTTCTCTTCCTCCTCAATTATGATTGGCAGATAAGTATTTGGAAACGACGGCAACAATGTATGAATGTCGCACACGGAAATTTTCGAACAACCTATCTCGAACGGTCATTGAGAATAGACTTTCAGAGTCGCATGCGACATTAACCATTCGACATTTTACGCATGCGAGAATTGTCGAATGCTTTCGAGAATACGGCTGGCACTTTTCGTGCATATTTCTCTGAGATTTTTAAAGCGCTTTCTACACAGAGTTCGGTCTCCTTACTCTTCCTTCCTGGTACCGGACAAACGGTGCACATCATTATACTTCGACGTCAAACCTCCCGCTCAGATTAAGGCCAACGCAGAATAGACCTGTAACCGGAACCGCAATCGTAACCGTAAGCGTAAGAATGAGTTAGAGAAGGATAAACAATATACCTATCCTTCTTTAACTCATTCTTACACTGTAAAAAAATCTGCTGTAAATTTACTATGTCCGACGTTGGAAAGTTTGGTCACTATGTCCGACGTGGTATTTTTACACGCCCACTGTAATCTACATAACCTGCAAATATTTTTTGAAATAATATTTTCAGTCGTAACTTTTTGTATTTATGAAATATAGCCCAAAACTTTTTGTTATATTATTATTTACTTATAAATTAGCATATACTTTCTATAAATGTACATTATATACACTTTTTTAGAGTTATTTATAAAAACTTGAAAATTTTTTGAAAATCTTAAAGGAATAAGAAAATTACATTCGCCATGTAATTGTACAGATCGTGCGACGTAATATTACGTCAAAGTGTAGAAATACACGCAATGTAAAAATACCACGTCGGACATAGTGATCAAATTTTCCTACGTCGGACGTAGTAAATTTACACAAAACTATTAAATTACATAGTCGTATAATGTAAAATTATTAAAAATAGTAAAACTACTTTTGGAACGAAATATATTTACTACGTGCAACCTATAATTTTGATGTGTGAAATTACAAGTTTCGTGTTATTTTACACCAGATTTTTTTACAGTGTACGCTTACGATTGCGGTTCCGGTTACAGATCTATTCTGCGTTGGCCTTTATCTCACGTGCCGGAAAAATCCCAGGCTAATGGGCGCGAACCAAGTACCCTTGGTCTGCCCACCGAGCCAGGCATTCATCCGACCGAGCTAATCTGTCGGTCTGTGGTAGACCTGAGGTGAACTAAAAACTTCCGCCATGGAGGTAAGGTTACATGTAGAGTGTGGTAAGTATATGTATATGATAAGGCTATGGTAACCTTACACGTTAAGGTTGAGGTAACCTTACACGTTAAGGTTGAGGTAACGTTACATGTTAAGGTTGAGGTAAGGTAATTAATAAGTTGTAAGGTTAAGGTAAGGTTGTGATAAGTTTACCAGTTATGGAAAATATTGACAAAATAATTAATAATATAATAAATAAATATTAAATTAGAAAGTTAAGTTTGTTGCTCTTCTCTATTTTGGAAACCTGACATGAAGCAGAAAATTTTGAAAACAAATTTGGGGGAACTGGGATTCGAACCCGGGATCGACGCGCATAAACCAATCATTCTAACTAACTGAGCTAAGTACAGAACTGTCAGAAGGAAAATCAATTTTGCCTTTAAGGTGAACCAAGAATATGATTAACTCCTTAAAGGCAAAATTAATTTTCTTGCTACCAGTTCTCCACTTAGCTCAGTTAGTTAGGATGTTAGGTTTATGCGCGTCGATCCCGGGTTCGAATCCCAGTCTACCCAAATTTGTTTTCAAAATTTTCTGCTTCATGTCAGGTTTCCAAAATAGAGAAGAGCAACAAACTTAACTTTTTAATTTAATATTTATTTATTATTTATATTATTAATTATTTTGTCAATATTTTCCATAACTGGTAAACTTATCACAACCTTACCTTAACCTTACAACTTATTAATTACCTTACCTCAACCTTGACATATAACCTTACCTCAACCTTAACATGTAACGTTACCTCAACCTTAACGTGTAACGTTACCTCAACCTTAACGTGTAAGGTTACATCAACCTTAACGTGTAAGGTTATCTAAACCTTAACGTGTAAGGTTACCATAGCCTTATCATATATAGTTACCACACCCTAACATGTAACCTTACCTCAAGAAGACTAGAGACAGGAGGTAAAACTTCGGTAGTGGGGGTATGGCAATGCTGAGTCGCTCAGCTGATGTATGGTCAGGCGTTTACTTTCAAAAAAAGTTTTCGCCGCAATAGACCACACGGACTTCTGCGCAGCTACACACGTAAACACAGGAAAATATATTCTATACAAATACAATATGAAATATAAGTGTTTATATTTTCAAACATCTTAAAGTTATTAAAAAAACGTTTTAAAAACAAAAAAATGTGTAAACTGTAGCATAAAGTGTATTAAAAGTTAACAAAAAGTAATAGTCATAGTGTTGTGTAGGTTTATCTTGCTTCTTGTTACAACTTTTCACACAGCACGTTTTCGGAATTTTTAACTATTTGAATAACACTTAATTTAATAATCACTCACATTAATTCTATATATCCGTTATGTCACACATTGTCAATTGTGCCTCGATTGCACTGATTGCACTTTAGAGTTAACCTCAAATTAAAATCATATCATACACATATGTAAAACATATGGTATACAAGAATTTGACTTGATGTGTGAGTGATGGGCAGAAGCACCGCGCCGGCGACTTTTCGAAACGAAAAACGCCTGGTTAATGAAAGGCTTTTGACTCATCTCCACTACCGAAGTTTCACCTCCTGTCTCTAGCCTTCTTGCCTTACCTCCATGGCGGAAGTTTTTAAGCTGAGTCTCCAATAGGTGCCAATGTAGGTGCCAGTGCCAATCCCCAATACATTTTAAACATAGAGATATTATAAATAGAGTGGGGAAGGTATAGGCGGTAGCGTGTGGGGGAAGTGTCCTGCCATATACAGAATGAGTTGGAGGGAGAAAGAAGATTTAACACCAGTATCTGTCCTTCAATGAGCTCCAGCGCAAGAGAGACACCTACTGGTGCTAAATCTTCTTTCTCTTTCTATCAAGCGGACGCATACATGCAAACCATCCCCACTCTATTTATATTATCTCTATGATTTTAAATGGGTTTGGCACTGGCACTGGCACTTGCACATGCATATTGGCACCTATTGGAGACTCAGCTTTAGTTCACCTTAGGCCTATTAAGTTGAGTCTCCAATGTGAGAGAAGGTGCGCATCGATGTTCATAGCTATAGATATACCACATCATACTTTAGTATACCTATAGCTATGAACATCGATGCGCACCTTGTCTTATTAGAGACTCAACTTCACAGCAATATCGTGTAATGAGCCTTTACGATTAGTATTCAACATAACGTTACCTGATACTATTGTGCTATGTGGGAAGAATGTTGAAAAAATGATATTTTCCACAATTTTTGATTTTTCAAATACCAATAATTTCATAATTTCTGCCCGAATCAGGTTTAAAAATAGGTCAATCGAATCATTTTTTAATGCTCTTCAAGTTGGTAATAACTTTTTGAAGTTACTTTTACATCATTTAAAAAAATTTTTATAAAAGTCTTATTTTCCAAAATTTTTGATTTTTAAAAGTTTAATATCTCCGGTTAATATGGACGAAAAATGTTCAATTAGGGCTCAAAAGATGCGTGTGAAAAAACTCTACAAAACTAAAGAAAAACATTTATAAGTGTCCTAACATTTTTTTAAGTTATGTCCAAATACGTTTTTTTACAAAATGAAAAATGCAAAAAAAAAATAGTTGAACTTCATGAATCGGGCTGAAAATACTCTCATTTTATGTCCCCCGGGGAGACCTACAATTTAAAAAAAAATTGAGGCCTTTAGGTCTTTCTCGTTCTGAGATATTGAGGCAAATGTAATGTTAGTACACACACACACACACACATCGGGACAAATTTTTAAAATCCGTTTTTTTGAACTTCGGAGATCAAAATACGTCGAAATCTTTTTTTATTTATTTAGAACATTTATACGGGGAGTTCCTGTGCATATATAAAGTACTAAAGTATTAGGCATAATAAAAAAAAATTTATAAATATGTCAAAAAATGACAATCCAAAATTTTGCTAATACAAAGCTTCCTTTATGAGGAAGCAAAATTTAACAAATTTCAGAATAATTTAAATTTTGAAAATTTTTTCAAAAATTTAAGTTCTTTAGAATTTCTAATGAAATTTTATAAAATTTTAAATTAGAATCTTTTGAAGTTAATCTATTTATGAAAATTGTAAACGCAACACTTTTAAAATTCAATTCATTTTGAAATTTATAAATAAAATTATCCTTTAAATAATTTCTAAGTAATAATTTTATGATAGTTAGAATTAGAAATAGAATTAGAATTAAATTAATTAAAATTAGAATTAGAATTAAGTTATTTAAAAAGAAATTATTGTCAGAAATAGAAAAAATTGAAGGTTTTATATATTAGAATTTTTGTTTTTGTAGAGAAAACTATTAATAATAATATTTTAATTATTTAAATAATAATTAATTATTTTTCTAGAAGTCTGCATTCTGTTGAATGAACCACCTTATAATTTATAAAATTCTTTACGATATCTATAATATTTAAATCATTAACATAAAAAAACAAATTTATATTACGTTGTGGTGTTAATAAGGTGGATATCACGTCAAAAGTCCACCCAAAAAAAAAATGTCCAATTATTCTCAAATTTTTTTTATGATATGCCCTATAGGTTAGTAATTTGTCGGATAAATATTTTTGAATTTTATAAAAAATTGTCCGAGGGGGAGGGGGTAGAAAAAAATATGAAAAAAATTTTAGAACTTTTTTTAGAAAATATATATAATAATGATGCTATCACTCGGTCAAATCCTGACTCGGAGTGATCGATTTTCTTCATCATCTTAATATTTTTTAGTTTATATTTTATTAGAAAAAGATGAAAAAGGGGACAAATCAGCCAAAAGGGGAAAAAGGTGATAAAATTGAAATAAGGGGACAAAAGGGGAAAAGGGGACCAACTGTGATGCCTGTATTCTGTAAATATGGCGTAATTAATTTATTCAATTTTTCAAAAAATGAATATTTTGCTTCCTCGTGGAATCTTCTGGAAGAAAAAATATCAATTTTCAAGAAAAAAATTTGAAACTTACAAAAATTGTTTATTTAGTCATTTTGCATATGATCAAAGTTTTCTTCATATTAAAAGGTTAAACTTTTTCAAAACTGATTCGATTTAAGTCAGTGATGGCTTATTTTCTTCACAAAAATTATTCTCTATAACTTGACCGCTCAGATTTATAAACAAATACACCGTTTTTAAAATATGCTTATTTGTTTAAAAAAAGTGATTTAATATTAAAAAAATTTTTTAAACAAATAAACATATTTTCAAAACGGTGTATTTGTTTATAAATTTGAAAGGTCAAGTTATAGAGAACCATTTTCTGAGGAAAATAAGCCATCATAGACTTAAATCGAATCAGTTTTGAAAAAGTTTAACCTTTTAATATGAAGAAAACTTTGATCATATGCAAAATGATTAAATATAAACAATTTTTGCAAGTTGCAAATTTTTTTCTTGAAATTTGATATTTTACTTCCAGAAGATACGAATAACAATAATATTAAAAAATTCTTTAATGTCAATTCAATATTTTTTCTGAAGGTCTGCATACCAGTACACAACCTCCTTAAAACTGAAAAATTCTAAAAAGATACCCAAAGAATGTAATAATGAATGGAATAATAATGTAATCTGCAGTTTTTAGAAATTTTTTAAAATTAAATTTATACATAATATAATTTTTAAATTGACTTTAGAATTTTATGGAAACTTTTTTAGAATTGTAAATATTGTCCAAGTACTTAAAACTTTTAGACCAAAATAATAATAATGATAATAATAATAATAATAATAATAATAATAATAATAATAATAATAATAATAATAATAACAGAATTTATCAGAATAAGAAATGAAATGGATTGTAAATTTTTTGTAAATAAAAAATGGTTTTTTCTAAATAAAATAATATAAAGAAAATAATTTTATTTTTATTTTCTATAAACTTAGGACAAAACAATAAATTATAAGTGCAAAAATACATTTCATATTAAACTAGACTTAAATTAATTTTAGTATATAAAATAAACTTCAATACATAAATGGGAAATTTTCAGTGAGTATTTTGCATCTCGGCACGTATATTATTCTTCATTTCTGACAATAGTTCCATTGTAAATTTTCCCTCGTTTATGAGATTTTCAAGTGCTCTTATTTTGAGCTTGATAAAATTTTCCTTCTGCGGTGATAAATTTCCTTGATCGGTTCTATCGGGATCTTTGATAAAATCTTTGATTAAGCAAACAGCTTCTTCCTTTGGATTATAAGTAATTAATTCAACATTAACATCAACTGTTTTTAATACACTTGTTAAGGGTAAATTAATTTGTGTCTCCGAACTGATGACATTCTTGATGCAAAATGTTGTTCGATCACCGCAATTGGCGGCTAAAACAACTTGCGAATTTACAGGCAAAACATCACGGAATCTAGCTTCTAAATATGTTTTATTTGATAATTTTTTAATATTCATCATTGGACAATACTTTTCATGCTTTTCATATGCAAACATGTTGATTCTTTTTAAAATATCCTTTTTCTCTTGTAACATGTCATTCAAATGTTGAAGTTCTTTTGCCTTCTCACAAATTTTATCAACAATTATTTCTGTACCCTGCATCATATCGAGTTTCATATCAACAAAATCGTTATCCTGTTCCGAAATACTTTCGAAAGCCTGTAATAAAAATATTTTTATGTTTAGAATTAATTAATATAACTTGAAATAAAATTGTCTATGTACTTAACGGTGTTTGATGGTTTCTGAAATTTCTAGATTGTAGATCGCAACGGTCGCAACCTACAAAAACGACACTGCCTGGTTTAAATGACGTAAAATTAGTAAACAATCTGCACACGAACCATCGACACGAATACGGAATATGATTCGCATTACATTGCTATGGTATTTCCCATTTTGCGACCGCGTGTCCAATTGTCGATGGTCCGTGAGCAGAGAAAAACGAAACCAAAACCAATCCGTATTTGTTGGGTGGTTTCATTATCTAGAAATTTAAAAGACCATCGAACACCGTTAATTTGTTAATTATTATTGTAACTTGTTAAAAAAAAGTGAAAATATATTACCTTTCTCAAACGAATCCTGCACAATTCATTAAATGAAGTTAAACCTAAGGCAAAATTTGATTTACAATAAAATTTCAAAGCGACGTAAACTCGATCATCTTCATGAATAGTTTGAACAGATTTAAAGCTCAATTTCTTTCTACACTGGTACGTTTTTGACTTGGTGGAATAGATAAATAAAATATGATCTGAATCATCCTCGAATTTTGCACTGAATGCTATTATTCTGCTGCTATCATAATTAAGGTAAATTTTATCATATTTTAATTCCTCTTCCTCGAAATAAATAAAAATCACAGCCGTTGAAACTGTTAAAAGTGCAATGCCAGAGGTGAAACCATTTTTTTCCATTGGAACTATACCAGTAATGGTATAATCACAGTTGTAGATTAATATTATAACGTTTTTCGTCAGTTTATAAAGAAATTTGTTGTAGGCAATAAGACAAATGTCACCTTCCTCATTGTCTTCTAAAAATGCAGTTCTAAAGGACACATCGGTTTCATTAGTTTTTAATTTAACACTCGAGAATTCATTTGATGTAATGCTGTCAGTTGGCACTTGAAATAATTTTGTAACAGTTTTGATTTGCTTATCTTCTAGATGCACACATCTATCGGAGAAAGAAAACACATTTGAAAATTCACATCCTAATCCAATACCGCTTCGACTTAAATTTGCAAATTGTAATTTTTCCGTTAATTTATAAATCCCACAAGGTTTACAAATCATGAAAACACGATCATCAAAATTTTGAATATCTTTTATCTCACCAGGTACTGTTATGACACTTAAAGGTAACGTGCTATCAGGCTCATTATCTTCATTGTAGGCAAATACAATCAATTCATTTCCTTTCCAAACAAAACATTTTTTTTCTCCATAAAAAGTGGAAATAAAAAAATTACTCCCTTTAAAGCCAGGCTTATTAGTTTTAATATACATTTTCTTTTATTGTTTGTTTATCAAGTTTATCGCGACCAGACCTTTTCATTTGTTTTTGTTATTAAGGCGGTTGTACAGGTTGTACACCTCATCGAACCAGGTCAGGTTAGAAAATTGTTTGCATGGCGGGATAATTTAAAATATAAGTAATGATTAGTGAAATATATGTAATAGTAGAATATAAATGAATAAAATTAATTTTTTCAGTAAAACTTATGTGAAATACACTTTTGATTAATTATTGTAATAAGAAAGTGAAAATGTTATAAAATAAAATTACAATTGTGTTTAAGTCGATGTTTGCAGAAAAGGTAATGTAGTATGTGTATAGTGAACACCTTTTCTGCAAACATACAGTAGAATCTCCCATAAAGGCCTTTCTCCAATAGGATCCAAAAACTCTGCGTTTGTCTGCGAATGACTGCGTTGCGTTGATTTTAGCATGTGTTGCTATAATGGTACGGTCACAGCTCGGCTGCCTGCCTGCCTGCCTGCAGGTCGTCATGGCAATACATAAGAGTAAGAGAGTCAGACAATTTAAATTATTCGAGACGCCTTATTTTGGCCTAAATTCTAAAAGTTAGAAAAACCATTTGTTAGAATTTCAAAAGTTAGAATGTTTATTTGTTAGAATTTCCAAAAGTTAGAATGTTTATTTGTTAGAATTTCCAAAAGTTAGAATGTTTATTTGTTAGAATTACCAAAAGTTAGAATGTTTATTTGTTAGAATTATTAAAAGTTAGAATGTTTATTTGTTAGAATTTCTAAAAGTTAGAATATTTATTTGTTAGAATTTCCAAAAGTTAGAATGTTTATTTGTTAGAATTATTAAAAGTTAGAATGTTTATTTGTTAGAATTACCAAAAGTTAGAATGTTTATTTGTTAGAATTATTAAAAGTTAGAATGTTTATTTGTTAGAATTTCTAAAAGTTAGAATGTTTATTTGTTAGAATAGCCAAAAGTTAGAATATTTATTTGTTAGAATTTCTAAAAGTTCGAATGTTTATTTGTTAGAATTACCAAAAGTTAGAATGTTTATTTGTTAGAATTATTAAAAGTTAGAATGTTTATTTGTTAGAATTTCTAAAAGTTAGAATATTTATTTGTTAGAATTATTAAAAGTTAGAATGTTTATTTGTTAGATTGTCCAAAAGTTAGAATGTTTATTTGTTCGAATAGCCAGAAGTTAGAATGTTTATTTGTTAGAATTTCCAAAAGTTAGAATGTTTATTTGTTAGAATAGCCAAAAGTTAGAATATTTATTTGTTAGAATTTCTAAAAGTTCGAATGTTTATTTGTTAGAATTACCAAAAGTTAGAATGTTTATTTGTTAGAATTATTAAAAGTTAGAATGTTTATTTGTTAGAATTTCTTAAAGTTAGAATATTTATTTGTTAGAATTTCCAAAAGTTAGAATGTTTATTTGTTAGAATTATTAAAAGTTAGAATGTTTATTTGTTAGATTGTCCAAAAGTTAGAACGTTTATTTGTTAGATTCCCCAAGTGTTAGAATGTTCATTTGTTAGAATTTTTTTTGAGCAGCGAGTTTCCTTTCTATGTTACTGTTAGGCCTTAACTTCATTTACCATTTGTCCCAACAGTGTACAAGATTCTTCGTACACATGTTAGATGGAGCCAGAAGTAGTATTTACTGTATTTAAAGAAACATATGCTGTAGCAATTTTTTGATCTTGACAGTATATACACAATTTACAAAATATTAGTTTTTAATGAAAAATTCTAATACTATATGAAAAATATAATATTTTCCAGATAATAATTGAATGCTATTATTTAACTTTATATTTTTTGCCTCGTAAAATTTTATGTTTGTGTATAATAAAACTATATTAAAATGCTTTTAATATTATATATGTGACATCATAATGTCAATTTGACACAATTTTTTTGTCAAATATTTTCAGAGTTTTCTAGCGACTAAAAATGGTTAATTTAAACAGAACGAGTGATTTTTGAGCGAACTTTGGGTAAACTTTTTTTTTCTTTAGACAATATTAAATCGCAACAAAAATATCTTCGATGAAAAAAGTTACGCAATTCAAGTTTATATTTGTCCGAATTATAACTTTTACTTGTTAACCAATTAATGCGGGGTTGCCACAAGTCAGGGTAAGACAGGGAAAAGTCAAGAATTTTTAATAAAAGTACTGGAAAAAATTAAATTTTTAGAATTTATTAAAAAATTCGGAATTTTTGGGTCTTTTTTGTTTGCCTCATAAACTATGAAGTTGACAAGAATTCTAATACAAACCCTTCAATTTTTTCTATTTCTAACAATAATTTCTTTTTATGTAACTTCATTCTTGAAGAACTATCAATTATTATTCATTAAATAATTTATAAGTAATAAGTTTACTTAAAAATATCAAAATTAATTAGATTTCAAAAGAGTTGCGTTCACAACTTTATAAATAGATAAACTTCAAAGGTTTCAATTTGAAATTTTAGAAAATATCAATTATTCAATTATTTTCAAAAATTTTCCTCATTTCCATTATTTTTAATATTTACTATTTTAATAAAATTTTCCAAAAGAATTCCATTACTTGAACAAAATTTTAATAAAAATTTAACAGGAACTCAAATACTTACCAAATTTTTATAAATTTCTTCGTATATCAATTCAATTATTTTTATTTTTTTAATGAAGTTTCTCCAAAGAATTCAAATATATTCAGAGAATTGAAAAAATAGTTCTGAGAAATTCATTTATTTCGAAAAATTTAAATAAAATTATTTTAAAAGTTCTATTATTTTGAAAAATTTTGACAAAATTTTTTACAAGATTTAGTTAATTTAAAGTTCTCCTATATACAATTCAATTATCTTAAATATACAATTCTTCTTCAGAATTTAATTATTAATAAAAAAGTTGAATAAACTTCTTCTCTTGAAATCAATTATTTTCATAACTAATAAAATTTTTCTTGAGAATTCAATTATTTAAAAAAAAATTTGATAAAATGCTTTTATAAATTTGAAAAATGAAAATAAAATTGGTCATAGAATACAATTATTTTCGTAAAATACAACATTCTTCCTAGGAATACAAATAAATTTTTATTTACATTGTTCAAAGGTAATTAAAATTTAAAAATTATTATAAAATAATTCCAATAATTAGTCAAATAATTAATTTTCTGAAACTAATTGAATTACTCAAAAGAATTTTTGTATAATTTAAAAAAAACTAATTAAATTTTTGATGAATTTGAATTAAAAATTTTGAACATGATTGTTTTCCCCAAAATGTTGAAAAATAATTCTAAAATATTATTATTTTTGTATGTATTTGAATTTTTGGAAATATGTTATTGAAAACACTGAAAATATTGAAAAAAAGTATCAATTTTCTTAATTTCCCTGACAAAAAATTTTTGTCATGAAATTTTCTAGATTTTACTGACAAAAAATTTGTTTCCCTGACATCTCCCTGACTCTACTGACGTTTATCCGACCGGAAATAATTTGTAGATTTAATGATAGTTTTTCGATTTGAAAACAAATACAAGGTGATGAAGCAATTCTGACTTCATATTCGTTTTCAGCGGGTAAAAATACTACAAGACATGTAGATCTGATTTAATAAACAGGCCACTTTTATTTTTTTGTGTACCTTTGTTAATGATTTTCAATATTATTAATGCTTCTTTCTTATTTGGATATTATTCGATAATACTCGACTTGTTGTCGCAATATCTTTTTTAAGAAAGGATTAAAAGAAAATTAAGAAAGTTTAAACAATTTTACAAAAGTAGACAAAATTTTATTCAAATCATTATCTATTATTAATAATGAAACAATATAAAAGGATTATAATTATAATTTTAATGAAAAACTTTTTGCACCGTTGTGTAAGGAGTTTTACAAAACGGGCACTTTTTTGTTGGAGTATTTTTATAAATATTCCAGCATCTTTCGCAAATTTTAAAATGTCCGCATGGCATAAATAAATGAGTGGAATATAACGTCCAACAAATGCAACTTTTTAAAATAAATTGTGTCTGTTAATAATTGTAATCAAATATTTAATTTTTTAAGTTTATTAAAATTACATTGAAATTAGAGCTGTGCAAAATTCGAACCAAACAGAGTTTTATTCGGTTTTGGACGCCGAAATGTCGAATGTCGAATATTCGATATCCGAACTGGGCTAGTTCGAATGGCGAATTTTCGACATTAGAACTAAGCTAACTCGAATGTCGAATATTCGACCTAGGCGAAAAAATTCGAACAGTTCGGTTCGAATTATTTTGCACAGCTATAATTGAAATTAATTAAATTTCTGAGGAGAATTTTATTATTTATAAAAAAATAATTTAATTCTTGCGATAAATTTGACTTCTTATAAAAATAATTGAATTGTATCGAATAATTTAATTATTAATTAAATATTAAATTTTTTCAGAAATCAAAGTTTCAAAATGCCATGCGGACATTTTAAAATTTGCGAAAGATGCTGGAATATTTATAAAAATACTCCAACAAAAAAGTGCCCGTTTTGTAAAACTCCTTACACAACGGTGCAAAAAGTTTTTCATTAAAATTATAATTATAATCCTTTTATATTGTTTCATTATTAATAATAGATAATGATTTGAATAAAATTTTGTCTACTTTTGTAAAATTGTTTAAACTTTCTTAATTTTCTTTTAATCCTTTCTTAAAAAAGATATTGCGACAACAAGTCGAGTATTATCGAATAATATCCAAATAAGAAAGAAGCATTAATAATATTGAAAATCATTAACAAAGGTACACAAAAAAATAAAAGTGGCCTGTTTATTAAATCAGATCTACATGTCTTGTAGTATTTTTACCCGCTGAAAACGAATATGAAGTCAGAATTGCTTCATCACCTTGTATTTGTTTTCAAATCGAAAAAACTATCATTAAATCTACAAATTATTTCCGGTCGGATAAACGTCAGTAGAGTCAGGGAGATGTCAGGGAAACAAATTTTTTGTCAGTAAAATCTAGAAAATTTCATGACAAAAATTTTTTGTCAGGGAAATTAAGAAAATTGATACTTTTTTTCAATATTTTCAGTGTTTTCAATAACATATTTCCAAAAATT